ATTAAACATCCAGAAGAGTCAAGGAAATTTACTCTTAAAAACAGACTTTACAGGGAATTCCCTGGCGGTCCACTGGTTAGGACTCGTAACTTTCACTGCTGAGGGCCTGGGTTCAATCCCTGGTCGGGGAAATAAGATCCCCCAAGCCACGCACTGCGGCCAAAACAAAAACAAAAACAGACTTTACAGGGCCAGAAGAACCCCAGGAAGTCTGCTGGGGCAGAGGGAAAAGAGGCAGCAAGGACAGAGGGTAACTAGAAGGTGGGCGTGGGGGTAGGGATGGCGGGTTGGGGATGGAGGAAAGTGGGGAGACAATGACAGGAAGGACAGGGGATGGGAATTGACATTATTGAGCGTGGGTGGCACTGCGCTAAACAAAAGGCAGGGGCGACAGGAAGGGGCTGGAAGATGTTAAGGACAGAGCACACAGGCATGGGAGGGCCAGTCACAAAAGTCCAGGATGGGGGCCCGGAAGTACCGCGTAAGGCGAGGAGGGCCCTGAGGGCCAGAGACCTTGGCTGGGAGGGGAGAAGACGGCGTTTGAGAGCCGCCAGGCTGCAGGACCTGGGGTGGGCTGCGGGGCCGGGCGGCGGGGCCGAGCGGTGGGGCCGAGCGGTGGGGCCGGGGCGGGGCCACAAGGGCGGCCGGGCGCTGCACCTGCTTCCGCGGTAGCTGTAGAGACAGTAGTGGCTGCTGGGCGGCGGCTCGAGTCTCCGCTCCTCAGCGGAGCCACCCTCCTCGCTGCTCTCTAGCTCCTTTTCATCCCCATCCAGCGATTCCTGCAAGGAGGGGAGCATCGCGGCGGCCACTGAACGGCCCTGTGTCCCCGCCAAACCGCTCCCCCGCTGCCGTACAGTCCTCGGTGGCCCGGCTCCTCCGGCTCCCGGCCCTCGCATATCTGCGTTCCGCCGGTTTCCCGGGCTCTCAGGCGAGGAAGCTGGACCGCCCCCTGATTTTCATGTCTTCTCTCACATCATTCAGGTGTCTGCAGAAACGTCACTTCCTCAGAGAGAACTTGACTGCCCTATGCAAAACACATCCCACACGCACCGCTACTGATGTCCCATCAGTCTCTGTCCTGTCCCCTTATATTTACTTCCTCTTCATCGCACTTACCCCCACCTTATGTATTTGTTTACTATGTCTCTCCCAGTAGAATGTCAGCTTGTTCACTGCTATATCCTCTGTCCTAGCCCACGGCCTACGGTGCTCAAGAACTGTTTGCTGAATTCGTTTTAACGCCTAGGCATGTTTTTCTTGCACATTTCACCCCATCACCATATCAAAATTATTAAAGTACACCTACATCCCATGTTAACTTCATATAGAAAAATAATAGCTAACATGTACAGAGCAGTTTCTGTGTGTGAGGACCCTTCTAAGTGCTTTACAAATACTTACTCATTTAATTCTCACAACTCCATGAGGTAAATATTATCCCATTTGACAGATGAGTAAACCAAGGCCAGTATTAACTTGTCCATGGTAAAATAGCTAATAAGTGGCAGAGTGGCATTCAAACCCACTCTGGCTCCAGAACTTTTTTTTTTTTAAATTTATTTATTTTTGGCTGCCTTGGGTCTTCATTGCTGCCCGCAGGCTTTCTCCAGTTGCAGCGAGTGGTGCGCAGGCTTCTCATTGCACTGTCTTCTCTTGTTGCGGAGTGCAGGTTCTCGGCGCGTGGGCTTCAGTAGTTGTGGCTCGTGGGCTCTAGAGCACAGGCTCAGTAGTTGTGGTGCACGGGCTTAGTTGCTCCATGGCATGTGGGATCTTCCCGGACCAGGGATCAAACCCGTGTCCCCTGCGTTGGCAGGCGGATTCTTAACTACTGCTCCACCAGGGAAGTCCCTCTAGAACTCTTAATACTGCAAAATTGAATTGAGGATGACTTGTTGACCTAAAATTATTGGACAATTAATCTCAGGGTTGTTTTGTTTTGTTTTTTGTTTGTTTTCACTTCTTTAGATCTTTAATTTCTTACAATATTTTGGTTTTCCAGAATATAGTTCAGAACTTTTGTTAAATTTATTCCTAATTTTTATGCTTTTTGATGCTATTGTAACCAGAATTGTTTTCTTAATTTTATTTTCAGATTGCTTGTTGCTAGTGTATAGAAGTACAATTGGGGCTTCCCCGGTGGCGCAGTGGTTGAGAGTCTGCCTGCCGATGCAGGGGACATGGGTTCGTGCCCCGGTCCAGGAAGATCCCACATGCCGCAGAGCGGCTGGGCCCGTGAGCCATAGCCGCTGAGCCTGCGCGTCCGGAGCCTGTGCTCCGCAAGGGGAGAGGCCACAACAGTGAGAGGCCCGCATACCGCCA